AAAAAAATAATATGCAGAAAACATTGTTACCACGATTGACCGTTAATGGTTTTTGTTGATGTATAAGTTTCCTGGAAAAAATGAAAGCAGACTATCATGCGTCTCATTAGAAATATTTTATTACATAATAATTCTTGTTCAGTATATATACTAGTGTATATATTAATGATTCTTTGTAGTTGAGCAGTAACGCAGGAACTGTTTCCAGACAATTCTTCATTAACATTCAAATCAATACTTTTTTTATAGTGTAAGACATTATATGATATTGATTTTATATAGCGTCATAAAATGTTTATATATTTCATTGCGAGTTTGCATTGTCTCAGAATTATTTTAATTTTTTAAAAATGCCAGTTATTTGTTTAATTTTTTGTGTAATAAATTGAAGCACGTTATATGTTTAACAACTTAACAAAGTAGCACTGAACGTAATGTAATGTGTTGTAAAGATAGCAAAATGTATACAAAGTAGTAATTTGACTTCCATACAAAATACTAATTCACTATATGATTATATCCATTGCCAACAAAGCTAAAGGAGCAAATTATTTCTATTTCCCTAAATCAAAGCACATATTCCCAATTACCGAATTTAAGATATTATCTATTGCCAACAAAGCTAAAGGAGCAGATTATTTCTATTTCCCTCAAACAAAGCACATATTCCCAATTACCGAATTTAAGATATTATATCCATTGCCAACAAAGCTAAAGGAGCAAATTTCTATTTCCTTAAATCAAAGCACATATTCCCAATTACCGAATTTGAGACATTTTTTTCAAGTTACCACACTCAACACATTTATTTCAATTCATCATATTCAACACATTAATTTCAATTCATCATATAACCTCTGTATCTATAGTCAAATACACCATGATATACTATCATTAGAATGATGGAAGCTTTATTCAAACGATGCAAACGCCTTTCGCCGTGAAGTGCGCCACAACTAATTGTGTTATTCAACGAGTAAGGCTCTACTTTGGTACATCATTCAAAAGGGTTTCTTTTGGTTGTGACAAGGTGGCTTAACAGTGTTACGGAGAAATTTCATCCTAATTAAACCAGCGATCTTGATAATTAATCGGGGAACGGACAGATCGAAGCCCTCTCAGACAAAAGCCCTTCCGTCCAAAAATGACAAAGCGGACAAAAGCTTTCCCATGAAATTGACAGGGCGGACAGATGCCCTCCCGTGAAGATAACAGGGCGAACATAAGCCCTCACGTTGAAATTACAGTCCTCCCGTGAAAATAAAAAGCGGACAAAAGCATTCCGTGTATATGATGATTATTCCGATGTTTTCCTTATTGGGCTTATCGGTTGGAATTGCATCAAGCAAACAATGCAGTTTGACGTGCACTGTTATAGTACAACGGTATGATTCAAAAATTTTGATAAGCCCTACAATAAGCTGAATGTAAAAGAATTTTCAAAATTCTACATCATTAATATCATAAAACAGCAGGGTAAAACAAAGAAGAACAAAACAAAGCAACAGACAAAAATAATCATTTGCATGATTTTATTTGAATATTTTAACAACTTTGAGTCTATATAAGGTTTATTTATACTGAAACATAAAATCCAAGGTGGTAAATCGATATTCCAATCACCGACTCCACAGTAAGACACTTATAATTGTGTTCACACTGCAAGCATGCGAAAACACTAATTGGACATTTCAATTGCAATTTAACGTACTTCAAAGACCGTTAGTACATTGAAAGCCACTTAGTAAAGCGAGACGACTCTTTAAATAGAAATAACAAGAACTATAGGGCCACATTGAAGGCCTTTTACAGAAAGCATCGAAAGAAGGCCACAAGGCCTATATCATTTACTTTAATATAAACCCATTTTAGCATTAAACCAAGACAGTTTGTAACTGGAAAGCCACTAAGTTATAGTAAAGCAACGAGGCTGTAATATAGAAATATCATTGCCTGGGGCAACATCAAAGGTAATTCTCTACAGAAAATGATCAAGAATATGTAGATTCACTGCAGAGGAAACCCATTAATTGTTTGTATATTCTATTATGTTTTCTCCCATGAGAGAACAGAGCAAGTGTCTTATGAAGTCTATTTATGTATATGAAGACAGTCAGTCAGTCGGTCTTTATTTATTTATTTATTTTATTTATTTACACTATCATATGATGACTGGTATCAATATACCAGACCAAAATTAATATACCCAGCTCAATTTGCCTAGATGTCGCTCAAAACAAATTAACGTATGAAAAGAACTAGAGATTTTATACGATAAAATTAATGTGGAATCCCATGCAACTGTTATTTATGTCAAATATTTGTTTAATTATATATTTTCTCGTCTGCACACATAGGCTTTTACAATATATTTAGCAAGTGTTCTTATATATGTGGTCCAACCTTAAATTGAATACCGAAAAGACAAGGCATTGAATGGTAAGTTTATATAAGTTAAAATAGAAGAGTTGAATGGTATTTTAATTTGTTCTTCAAAAATACTTTATATTTAAAACAAATATAAGAAAATCTTACGGATAAGATTTTCAAAAAAAAAACTCATAACCTACATATGGGTGTTTAACCCTCACATGAATTACCTGACACCATCGTATATTTTAACTTGAGTACATTTCGGTGGTCCTTATTATAAGGTTGGTCCCTCGAGATCGTGTCTTACCTTCTTTTTGAAAAAAAATGAAGATTGTTTAATATCTTTTTTTTTCATTTTGTATATTGTATATTGACAGTGTCAGCACTACAGATTGTTAAAAGATTTGTGCTATTAATCATTTTTGTACATTACAATACTGTACATCTGATACCCTATTCAGTGTTAATCCAACATCCTGTTTTTACAAGAAAGGTGCAAGTGTAAAGATATATGCTCACAAGGAAGGTTCAGTAATCGGAAGTAAAATGTGATTGTACTCACATAAACTGGTACAAAGGAAAAGTGTACAGGCTTGCAAGCATTATTTGGTGATTTCGTTTCTCCACTGTGTTGTGTATAAATACCATATATATCATAACGCAAGAATCTACTTTTACTTGCAAAAAATCATTTTGAAATGTTAGCAGGGCCTGTTTAATGATGAAATAATGACAGTTATTATTTGTGCCAATTCCTAGTTATGATATTGCAAACAGTGATGCAGGACTCTCAGTTGAGTTAGTCCATTTAACTGCACTATGAGTTGATGTATTGACTATTTCGCTATTTTATGTCTGGGCAATATCTTTCCTCTACGACATAGAACCGATATAACGACCCGAACAAAATGTATCCGTAGAATCTAATATTCTATAACTAGTTTGACTATCTACAGGTTCTGAATCACTCGAGTCAATTTCTATTATTCGACTTATGTTTTCTTAAGTCAAATCATGTTTTTGCATGGATACATGTATCTCAACGGTCACCTGTTTTTGTTATATTTTCTGATATAACGTAAAGTTTAACAAATGATATATAATTATTAAGAATGTATTTTTTGTGGGTGAAAACATGGTTAAACAGAATTTAGAAATCGGAAAAACTAGACTAGAAAGGGAAAGAACTTAAAACTCTGAAAAACTTAAGAACAAAGTTCGTTTCCGGAACTCCTTTAGATTATATTAAAAAATACACGCATGAATCTTTTTCAGAAAGATTCTTTATATTATTTTACATATTTAAGAATTGCCAATAAGATTCAAAGATTTCAGTTTATAAATTTAAAATTACCAATGAAAATTCTATTATTATTTAGTTATTTCCTGCAAATTTAACAGCAAGTCTTATTGATTTTAGATGGCATTCGGTCGAAAATTAAAGAGTCATGTATGTGGTAACCGTTTGAGAAAATGTCAATCATGGGTTGATACATGTACCCATGGTTGACATTTACAAAAGACAATATATTTTCAAATAACATCTCTGTGGGGTTATTCAAAGTACATGTTTACGTAACATAAGTGTCCCTATATGCAATGCATTCATGAATGGCAAATGTAATAGATTGCAGCAAAACTATTACGGATTATCCCTAATAAACCTTGGTTATCTGTCGGAGGTATAACATTGAAAAAGAGTGACATACCTCTAGAAATATGATCGTCTTAGAATTATTTGTGAATTTACTAGAAACCGTCACTTATAAGACAAAAATAGCCGTCTATGCAATTTAAATAAAACAAACTTTCTTGAAAAAAAAAACATAAAGCATTTAGTGAAATTATATGCTTTTATGTTTTATATGTGTATTGTTCAATTTTGTTATCGAAAGAAAAACAATAAAGAGAAGAGGTGGCCTAGAAGTGAAGGTGTATCTCTTAACATCGTAGGTCAAAGCAATATTTACTTATATTACAGCAGCACTGGTTAGTTTCAGGATAAGGTCTCGAAATTGGTTAAAAAATCACAAGCTTTAACTACAATAGAGACAAAATGAACTATATTATATTAACTAGAATTGGTTTCTTTGCAGCTCAATTCAACAATCACTTAGTGTTGTTGTTCTTTGAATTTGTAAATTTGATGAGTTAAATGTCATTTTGGTATAAATTATTATCTATAAATAACACATATGAGTTTAATAAATTTGAACATAGCCTTTATGTATGATAAATCATGGAGATTTTTGTATTTGATTAAATGATATTGTCCATATTTTGACGGTAAAATGTTTCTTAAAAAACATTTTGATCATCTCAACAATTATTGCAAATAATGTAAATGATTTTTGACATTTCTTAAAAAACAATCTGCATAATACAAAGCTTTTCCGAATTTAAACAATTTATTTAAGCTGGTGAAGCAAGTTATTGTTGAACTATGTTTATGCTCTAAAGGACATTGGAAATGGTCGACAACAAAATTGTTAAAAAAAGAAAATTAGAGTTGCTTTTCATAAATTTTACAAAAGATTTTTTTTGAAAAGCTGTTGTTCAAAAATAAAACAACATAGTTGATTTATTAACAATTTATTTAGAATCTTATACATTGTTCCAATGTCAAAACAGTAACATTTACAATGTACTATATACATCAAATTATTTACTGAAAAATAAATGTTTTGATTTAACAGCGTACTTATTCAGATATATTGCGATTTGTGATGATAAATTGAGAAAACGTATGGAACTGTGGTTCACAAAAAACAACAAATGGTCAAAAAATCGCTGTTGACGACAGCTATTTTTTTTAAAAAATACTAGTTAACAACCAGAAAATTTTCGAATTTAGGCCTTTTCATTGGATGAAAAAGTAGGTGGAGATGAAATGACCAAGTTCAATATTATAAAAACAAGCATGTGTGTTAAATACTGTGTTATATGCACAGTCACGTGACAAGTATTACAGCAGCCTTGTATATAGATATTGTATCATAGTTTTGGGACCTTTCTGTTGAAAATGTGTCAGAGTTAAATCGTATACATATACATGCACATTGCGTTAACTGGAGTGCAGGTATCAGTTACCCGCACTGCAGAGCATGCCCATTGATTGGTTCATTTTGTCTGGGGTTTAGATATTGTGACGACAGCGAAAGGGAAAGCGATAGCAATATCATATTCAGATGCTCGTTCATTAGTTCCTTCCTTTTTTCTGGGGTTTTATATTGTGACATCAGGGAACGTGTTTTTATTTTTGACTATGATACAAAAGAGAAAGAACTTCAAAACACTCGGCAATCTGATTTATACTCGGGGGCTGCGTCCCCTCGTACTTGTAAATCAGATAGCCTCGTGTTTCGATGCTCTTTCTATTACACATACAATGTAAACGATAATCTAGTGAATATCGACGTAACATAAATTGTATTGAAGTATGTATTATTGAAAAGATAATGGATTTATTTGATTGATAAGACTAGTTTCCAAAGACCCCGATCCGAACTTTACACTAAATGGGTTGTTGTTGTTCTTTTCTGTTCAAACATGAAACTAGATCTAGCTTCCTTTGTTGACGTCACTGATATTATTGAAACACGATAACACACATTATCGTTTTTCTATGTCCATTAGCGTTTTATACATTTTAAGCGCAATACACATAACTTAAGGTACATTATAATTTAATTGAAATACGATTCAAACATAAGTTGTTTCCATAGCATCCACATATTCATCGTCTCTGTAATCGTCACTTGAATCAGAATCGTCACTATCGTCATTTCCGATATCATAATCGTCAGTATTTTTAACGATATGATTATATCGCCAAATATCGCCGGACACTATTGAATCATATTCGCAACATCCGACGTTCGATAAAGCAAGTCGGTGATTTTCGTTGGTCTTCGGGGAAATTTCATTTCCGGCTGAGACGTCATCATCGCTCAATGAATCAGCATATTCTTGACACTGTGACGTAGCAGTGACGTAAGTACATTGTTGGCAACCACATGCATCGTGATAAATATCGTCTTCTGTGTTGTCTAAATAATCTGTATAAATAAAAAGTGTGTAAGACAGGACTTTTGAATGTGTATTTGTAGCAATGAACATAAATTTACAGTTGCCGAGGTTTGCCTCACATGCAAATATTTCAAAGTAATCATATAGAATAAAACAACCAAAGCGTGTCATCTAAGATTCGGAACTTAATCTAACCAATCTACTGTATCAATAATTCATCTTGTTTAATACAAGAATAAAATATGATCCGATCAGAGCATTATGCTGTACCGAGATATTAACTCTTCATTAGATATTCTATAATTGCTTTTTATCAATGTTTTTTTTTTATTTCATTTACTTTTTATTAGATTCTTTATTATTTCAAATAAGTAGAATCTACACGGGCATTCGTGTAACAGTAGTTTGTTCAAAATTTGTTTCATAAACTATATCAGAATAAGCAAATACGAAAATAACTACATCCTCCTAAAATGCAAAATAGAAAATAACATGTGTCAATGGGGAATGTACAATATGAGGGAATAAACCTGTAGAAACAAAGCAAACAAAAATCGAAAATAAACTGTATTTTAAAAACAAACCAAATAATTTATAAAATAATATATTGCCAGCAATTAACATGTGAAATTATATCGTATTATGAAAAAGAAATCACTTTCTTCTCATAATTAACATTAAAATTTACAAATTATATAATGCATGTGGCCTATGGAACAAACTACAATCTTCTATATAAAGATATAATTTTAAATTGTCAGTCAAATGTCATTATCTTCATATGCTGCCTCTTTGATGCTTAAAGGTAGAAATAAATTGTATCCAACAAACTATGTATACAAGTTTTCCTCTTTTCATGCATCTGTAAATGTCAAAACCATTAGCACTTAAAGACCACAATGAAAAATGGGATTTAGTTTTTTGTTTTACGATTCCGTTTATTTTGTTTAATTTCTCATGTATATATGTTTTATTGGTAATCATGTATTAAATTTTTTTTACAATGCTGTTGCACAATACAGAAGTAAGTTTATCTACCTAAACAAAGCAACGTATCATATCAAGATTAAAATGTATCTTTTTAATTCAATGTAAAAACATTGCCAATCATATTAAATTAAAATACATTGAACTCTTTAATTCAGGGTATCAACATAGTAAATCACATCAAATTAAAATACACTTTTTATATTCAATGTAGCAACAAAATAAATCATATCAAATTTAAACACTCCTTTTATATTTAATATCGCAACATAGTTTATCAAAAAAAGATTAAAACACCACTCCTTTTCATATCGGTGAAGTTACATAGAATATCATATCAATTTAAATTACCCCTCTTGAATTCAGCGTAGCAACATAGCATATATACAAGAAAAGCATTGATGCAAAGCATCAAAGGGCGTCCAAGCAAGAAATGCAGCAAGTGAAGATGAACTAGTAGACATATGATGACAAGATATTCTTATAAACTACCAGAAATGTATATCACTTATGAATGAGCGGACGAAAGACATTGTTCATTATGAACTTTGATTGGCATGCTAGAGATTAGAATATTACTTGTTATGTCTTTATGATCGTGGTTATTAATAGCAACGGATATACATGTATACAATCATTTATAATCCATATGTGTAACGCATGATCAACACGTACCACACCTTTGTAATTGTCCCTTATTATGTTATCGCTATTAGCGAAGACCCCCTTAAGGTATCTGTTCACACTTAGTAAAAATATGACACTGGTTATATTACCATGTTGATCATGTTGAGCATAATTGTTTATTATACAATAAATGTAATATCTATTAATTTTAATAAAAAAAATACAAATTTTATAAATATTGTTTTCTTTTCTTTTTTTTTGCGTTTTTTTGTGCTATTTTAATACGGAGTTTTTACTACTCTTTTTTTTTATTTAAATTGTTAAATAATTTTTAAGAATTCAATTGTCATATTAACCGACGATTATAAGTCAAAACGTAACTGGAAAAAGTCAGTAAATGATGGTTTATCTTTCAATTTATATAATATTGTTTATTCTTAAACCATGTAACATGTACATTTGTATTTTTCTTTATCATTTTTCAAATTATCAATCAATTGAATAATTCATAAAATCTAATTCGTAACTTTGAATAATTCCTCGGCATCTTTACTAAACACGGATAACAAATTAAATAAAATGTTTCAAAGTTGATAATGTCATATTAATACCATAAAAATGTACATTTTTCTCAATTATTGTACATTTTTATTGTTTTTATCTCATATAGATAAAATGAAACATGCTATTGTTGTTGTTGTTTTGTTTGGTTTTTTTAATTGTAACGATATCAAACATCTACTCCAAAACCGGGAGAGACCGGACAATAAACGTGTGGTACTATTCGCCGGTCACTAGTAAATCCCGGTCAAAATAGACCGGGAGAGACCGGTAATTACCGATAGAAGTGAAAAAAAGGTATATCTATAAATAGATTTTCGGAATATTTAGGTCATCAACTGACATGTACAACAATAACATACCATGATAACCCACTGTGTACTACAAAATGATAAATAAATTAAAAAGAAAACGAAGAGCGCGATTTATTGACGGAAAAGGTTATTTTCATTTGAAAGTGTTTGCATTGCGAAATTCTCTAGTTCGCTATTCATTGTAACATATCGCGACATTTCATTCTTAATTAATAATCAAGCACCCTCATACCGATCGGAATGGTCGGCTTTTATTATTACCGACTAAAAGGCTCGAGAAGTTGCTGTCGCCCTTTCACAAAATCTGATTTCATTCCATAAGGGCGCGGCGCTTCGGCGCGGACGCCAATCATATTAATATCGGTGTAGTTACATAGAATACCATATCAATTTAAATTACCCCTCTTGAATTCAGCGTAAAAACATAGCATATCATGTCAATTTAATTTACCCCTCTTGAATTCAGCGTAGCAACATTGCATAACATATCAATTTAATTTACCCCTCTTGAATTCAGCGTAGCAACATAGCATACCATATCAATTTAAATTACCCCTCTTGAATTCAGCGTAAAAACATAGCATACCATATCAATTTAATTTACCCATCTTGAATTCAGGGTAAAAACATAGCATACCATATCAATTTTATTTACCTATCTTGAATTCAGTGTATAAACATAGCATTCCATATCAATTTAATTATAACCCTCTTGAATATAGCGTAGCAACATAGCATACCATATCAATTTAATTTACCCCTCTTGAACATAGCTAAGCAACATAGCATACCGGCCCTTCTTGAATATATTAAATTAAAAATTCCTTTTGAATTCAGAGTTCTAGCATAGCAATCCATAGTCTCATAGTAGTTACACGTTTCTTTTAACAATGCCATTTTATTACTTTGATGTTTACGTACTAAAACTACGATAAACATTTACAAAATGTACATCAATAGCCTGCTGACAGAGTTCATGATGGTATTTTGATGAATTGTATAGAGATAATTATAACACGAACAGTAAAAAACAGACTTACCTGTAGGAAAGAAATCAAAGTACAACACAAAATATCACCGCATCCACACAACAATATCAAATTTGATATAGTGAAAGCAAACTACGAAACAATCAAGCTAAAAAGTTAGTTAAAATAATACTATGCTCATTTTTTCTGTACGAAATCTGCTGTGGTCATAGTATTATTTTTTACAATAGGTTTATCTCTTAGATTTGGTTTGCTAAATTGCTAATCATGGTCATGCAACTACATAGTTAGGTGAAGAAGCAGGCGTATGTTTTGGTTGAGTCTATTATGTTTTGTTTAGGAGGTTGAGTTGTCATACACAAATTTACAATTTATATGCGTTAATTTTTTTCCAATGATTGTTATTATCTTAAATGCTTCTGGGATTGTTGTTTAATCAATTCATTTGTAAATAAGATTGATATATGTCTATTTACGGAATAATTTTAATGAACACGAAATTAGTTCACACCTACATGTGTATTGGTATGAACGTGATGGTTTAAGCCACTGAAAACACGTCAATATTATTATACTCAGGCAGAGAAAAAGTATGCAAAGAGTAAATCGATAATCTTTATGTAGCCAGCAAACTTTGAATTGCAAGTATTTTTTCATATCTTTTCGGCAGGATAAACTGTCGTAAAATGGCTGTCATTTACAGTATCAAGTGATTATCCCAAGCACCACTGCGACTTAGCGCGGGAATTTTAATTATAGCTAACCTCTGCGCGTATACCTTTTTCATATTTTATTGTAATAAATATTTACAAACTGTGTCTGTCGGGTTTTTTTTATCAATATATAATCAATTATGATGTTAATATGCATAAATAATCATATCTCAAATCTTTGACTATGATTTACAATGAAATTCTACCTTTAGTGTATTAAAAAGGTTTTTAATTTCCTGTAATTTTATTTTGTGATTATGCTTCAAAGCAGTCAATTGACCGTGAATTTTCTTTTCATATTTTGATTTCCTTGAAATCGTTTTTCTCATCTGAAGGCATGCAACTTTAACATGGTGATACATTAATTACATACCATGAAAATGTTTAAAGATATAAAATATCTCATGACATGTTTGTTCATTTTACATTTAATTTACACCTTTAATTCAGCAAACATAAAACGTATGATTAAAATGTATAAACAACATACATTATACTTCTGTAAATAATGCATAAACAAACATAACTATATAAACCATTCGATTATTAAGTCTTAATAAGTATTTTATTATGTAAATAATTCAATCCAAATTGATGATAATTAAAAAATTTAGTACACTATTAAAATGGCCAATGGTACAGACCGCTCTCCAGTTGAATGATCTTGTCGAAAACGAAATTAAGATGCATTACAGGAATTAAAAGTCTGCAAAATGACCTACACGTTAAATAATTTGCATTCTCACTGTACCAGTAATCGTATCAATAGCTATAAACAAATAAGACATGACAAGAAAAACACTTGAGAAAGCTATTTGCAACAATATAAATACAGGTCAATAATTTAATTCAATTCTATCAGTAAATAGATATTCACGATGAAATATAAAACCTGTCTAAAATATTCATAGACTGTGGCGTGCCTCACTCTTTTCATAAATTAAACTTTTCACACGATCACAAAAATATATTTACGGAAAATTCTGTGTTTTTGTTTGTTTTGTAAACATAAATTGCAAAATTAAGGAACAGGGTAAATTGACATTAAAAAACAACAACACTTAAATCCATTTGACAGGAACTAGCGGCTGAAATAATATCACTTAATTAAGAAAACCATTATTCTTACTGTAATTAACATTCAACATATATTTTACAATCATTTTGCTGACTAGAAAAATACCATTTTGTATTAGAATATGCGATAAGAAATGAAAACATGTGTTTTTAAACAAGTACATAGTGTGGCGAAGCTTCTTATAGACCATGTATGTCGTGTCAGGAAAGTGAGAAAAAAATGACTATTTCGTAATCTTTGAAAATCCCTGACTAAATAAACACCAAAACGCATTTCCTACAATCCAAAGCAAAAAGTAAATTATTTGAAGTTCATGTCCCTACAGGCCCTAATATAAGAAATCGATCTACACAAATTCTAACCAAGCTACACACTTACTGATGACGTTTTAAAAAACAAATGTTTTAGGTAACAGAAATTCTCCCATTGATATTTTCGACCAAATAGTGTAAATAAGTTATCTTATAATGATGAAGATTATTCTAGGGCTAACATATACAAAGTTAGCATATTTTTACTGTCTGTAGCAGTTATAAGTAACATTAAAAGACATGACGTAGGATTACTTTCATCAGTCAGTTCTTGTTATATTCATTAAGCTCTATTGTCGGTTCTCATTGGCTAAAAAGCTATCTGACGTTATTCAATGTGCGGTGTTTGTCACAATTGTCACTTTCATTAGATACCACCCTGTGACAGATGTGATTTGTTGACTTCATAAAAATGGTATTTATAGTTTAAAGAGAGACAGAGGCAATATTTTTATTTCTTCGCTTTGAATTTTTCCTTCATTATTCTGTAAATGTCCTCAGGGCAGTCACAGGAACAATTTTTTTCTCAATATAAAGTATTAAATGGTGGTTTTCAAACCTGACCCATGCGTGTCAAGTTAGAGCGTTATGATTTCACAAAGGTTGTCAGAGTGATCTTTGGAAAAAAGTTCAAGAACATGTCAAATGAATGACTTAGACTTATTTCAATAATACAATATCCACAATATCTGTTATTGTAACTTCCAGGGTTTGTTAAAGTCACAAAACTGGTTTAAAAACTACTCGGTGATTCCGTCGACTTCAAAATTTCTTTCAACATGCATGTATATGGATATATTTACGCTTAAACCAAAAATATATAGAATTTAGACAGTAATTTATCTGAGGACTTTAAAAAATGTCATTTTAGCTTGATTTGAGTTTGATAAGATCATTTTGATATTTATTGTCATTAATTTGCCTGAGTATCCCTTTAAAAGCAGCAGGATTTTCTGGCTAAATAGTGTTTTTACATGAGCATTTACAAAATTAAACTGGTAAAGAACGGCACAGCCGTGTGACAAATTTAATTTATCAAAATGCTCACTTATGAACACTAACCAATTAAGTGTTTGAAATTATTTTTAGTCGATTTACTAGTATGAATAATTGTTTGTCGAATTTTGTTATTGTTGTTTTCTCTTCTTTTTTTTCTTGATATTTCTTTTCTTTATTGTTGTGAATTACGTCAAAGCGACATTGTAAAGATAGGTCTTACATGGCGAAGTTTCGTATCCATGGTAATTACGCAAAATAATAAATGTAAGAACTGTTCGTCATCGTTGTGAAAAATATACAGTCATAAAATTCGTTTTACGTAATAAAAACATAACCATTTTTGTCTGGTAAATTACATTGACGTACCATAAGGGAGTGTCATCTGAAATGTATACCGTTTTTGAATTTTTTCAATATCCTTGAGTGTAATATTTCACTGTCTGATAGTCTATGTTAGTATATCGATAATCTTTTTTTTTGTAGTTATGCAGTTACCGACTAAAGAAATTAAACACCCACGCTAGTATAAAATATATACTTGATATATTGATTTTATATGAAAGACTAAAGTCTTCTCCAAATTCAATCATTGAAGATGATTTACTTCTGCCGAGGGACATAAAGATTTCACATCGTTTAACTCCAAACGCTACTGTATAATTCAGTGCAAACACTATAAACAAGAACAATAACGGATATTCGATATTCTAAAATTAGAAAGAATATTCTAAAATTAGAAGGAATTTTATAATATTAGTATGAATATTCTAAAATAAACCGATGCTATAGCATTCTCATTTGTTCCTAGATAGGCGAGTAGTTCAGGTCTTATGGTAGTCGGCAACACCCCGAGCGTGTGAAATTATAGAGCTTTGATAATTCTTTCAATACATCAGTATTGTGGACAAAAGAAATTGATAAATCGCCCAAGCAAATACACACAAATGAAATACACACAAGCAGTTAAAAGATGGTATATGTATAGAATTGATGGTATATGTAAAGAATTGCAACTAAATGAACATTCTAAACATGTTTCTTTTGGTCTGAATTTTTTAAAAGATACAAACAAAAAATGTCCACCAAGCCTTATAAATGAAAACAGTTTCTTTCGGTTAAAACAAATTTGGGAAAACATACTTTTAATCATGTTGTAATAATGGATTTAGAGCATTTGGGTTGTTTATCACCTGAAGCAAATAGCGCGTTAAATGTGTCATAATTTGTGATCAAAGAGGCAAAATGTAAACAAACTGGCATTTTGTCTTTTATACAAAATACTGAATCACTATAAAGTACTAACTGTTAAAACGCAAAAGAAGCAAAACATGGAGGCTCAAGAACATGCCTCATGAGCATCTTTTGGGAAACTGTAACCAGGCAACAAAATAAAAAAACTTTTGAAAAATGAATATGATAGTATTTTTAGGCTTAATGGGCTATAAATGAAGAAACATTCTATGGAATGTGAGACAGTGACATTGTACTATTTTATGACTGTAAATCGATATTAGAATAATCTACTCAGACAGGGAGATGTTAATTTGTTAAAACATATCATGTTTACACTTGAATCACGGGAATTATTTTATTGGTATTACATTAACAGAAATCGTCACGCAAGATGAAAGCTAGTGGTATCTTGATAGCGGCTATTTTTTTTTTTGTCTAGAAATACAAGTTTATTCCGTGAGCGAGTGGTGCTTCAAAGCACTGGCCCCTCCTCGCCCTGTGTTAGAAACTCTTAAGGAACTTTTGATTCTGTCATGTGAGGAAGCTATACAGTTTGTTTCCGAAACATCGGTGGTTCTATTCAGATGCCCGATCGTGCTTGAACTAAAGCACGGAGGGGCACCCGGGGTTTTTCCACCAGTAAAGCTGGAAAGTCTCCAAATGTGTTGGTGCTACGTGAAGATTAAACAGAAAAAAATAACACAACGCAGATTCAGTGATGTTCGGTTGCAGAAAGTGTGGGGAAGGTCTAATGAAAAAAATCATAATTGCCTGAATTAATTATTTACTTATTTACTAGTAAATACCTTTGCCTTCTATTTAAACAATTATCATTACTACTTTTTACATGAACTTCATCGTAACTATGCCATTATGAAATGAAACCTATTATGCATTATATTTGATAAATAATTTGTAAATGAAAATTGTATCAATGATATATATGATTGATTTAGAAGATTAGTGTTTGTAAAATAAATCAAATTATGCTTGTGTTCTTTGAATTGACTCATTTTAAGTGATGTTATTCATGCTCTTTATGATGATGTTTTTGTGTTTATTTACATGTATATCTTATTATATGTATTTAATTACTAAATTGAATGTTGTTTGGATAACTCATTTTATGCATCTCCCTTTCCGAGATTATTCTAAGAACTGCTATTTATGATATCCATTTTGTGACCGACAAAAGAGGTTTGCTCAGTTCTTTTTATCATACCTTTGGTATTAATTAGAAAAAAAAACGTTTTAAGCTAATACATACTCTTCCATAAAAGTATAAGCTTAATATGATTAAGATTCATAAAGTGAAACTTTAACACCAGTCCTCAGCAATATATTTCTTCACTGTAATTCAATGAAATTCTAATTAGAAATTAAACATTTAATGTTAAATATTCTATCTAACTTAAAAATCTAAATTGATTGACTTATCAAATAAAAGTAAATTAATGCTGTTTTGTTCATACTCACGAAGCATTGTTTTAAAGAAATCTAATGGAATAAAAAACATGAAAAAATCCATGCACAAAATAGAAATATATTTGAAAGCAGGAAATGAAAGGAAGTAAAAAGAGTTCATTCAACAACATTGAAAAACAAAACATAATGCTACAAATGCTACAAAATGTCAAATTGTTATAATATAACAACAAAAAACAAGCACAGTGTGTTCGTGTATACCGTTTTTTAGCAAACAGAGATGAAAATAACGTCAATCATGCAACGTTGGGTAAAGCCTCTAAAAGTAAAATGGTAAATTTGCTTAGTTGGCACTTGTTTGGCATTCAGGATTTAATTCTATTTTGATTAGGTTTCCTTCCTTAATTTTATCAAAGCCAAAGTACAAAAAAGGTAACAAATTTATTTCATTCTGGGTTTTTTCGAATACAAATATGAAACTTTCTTTTTGCATTTTCATATAGTTCTTTTTTCTCTTCAAAACTTGGTTGAAAATGAAACGCTTCCTAGTTTGAATGCATTGGGGCTAAAAAATTTCATACATTTAAAATGATTTTTTTATTACTTCATATGCTTAACTTATGTCTCAGATAAAAAATATTAAAATCTTAATCAACTTTAGATTAAGGATGAGAATGTTTATATAATCATATGTTTTTAAATTTGGGTTTAAATAAGACCTTCTTACGTTATACTTTTTCTACTATTTTTGTTCTTACCGTTGCAATATAAACGTTGGTTTCCTTTCCTGGAAAATTGTGTTTCGTCTATGACGGCTGAAGAATGATAACATCTTATTTGTCCATCATTTCGTAGCGTTGTCTCGGAGACATCATTAGTTTCCATAGTAACGGTTTCACATTTATCACAACATGTGTGTCGGATCCCACTGTAATTCCCCATGTTCTCCCAACAAATAATCTCAAGACACTCTTTGGAAGGACAGGCGTGCTTTGTTTTTTCAGATAACTGACGACATTGCAAATGATCAGAATTTAATACATTAGATTCATTAGGAGAAAATGGCGATTGACCCGATACATCTTTGCAGCGTTCATTTTCTTGGAAATCAATATTGGCAATGACAATGTTCCTTGCGTTCATGGGATGGTACTTGTACGCATCACGAGAATTTGAGCTGTTTGGTCTAGTTTGATATGAAACCGACATTTTGTCGTCTGCTTTTAATGATGAATATCTATTGTCTATATCTGTATTTGTATTACACCGGGGAATACATTTTTGAAGTTCGTGTGATGAATATCGTCTGCAACAACAAACATTTGCGTTTGAATCCGTCCCCAAATCTCGACTATTAGGCGATATCAAAGTGTGGCATTTATTATTCATACAGGCATAATACGCCTCTTCGTTCTTCCATTTATTCTTTTCACACAGAAAACAATAGGAAAGAAATCGATCGCAAGCATTCTTGTTTTCAATTAGCCTATGCCTTTTGTCTGTTTTATTGATTTCTTCAGTATGCTTTAGTTTATCTACTGATTTAATATGGCTAGTTTCATGCAACTTATCACAGTCTGAAGCAATTTCCTTATAACCCGATTTTGATTCGTTTTTAGACACCAGTTTAAAATTTGAACCATCCGTCAAGACACAATACATACACTCAGAAGACTTATTCTGCCTGTCGCTTTCGTTGGTTGAACAAATAGTTTTGCCAATACCTTTACACAAACATTTTGTAAAAGCACCGCCTGTTGACCTATGAATGTCACCACAGTTTTCAATATTATCACCTTTTATTAGCCTGGTGACCGACTGTTCATCGATACACTGTTTCTGCTGTCCTTTGTCCAGAGATAATTTTCCAGTATGTTCTGCGTCACCAATACAATGATCACGTTTCTGAAAACCCTCTTTAATATCATCTTTGTCTTTATTTGGCAATGCCGACTTTTCGTATTTTAATCTTTCTTCATAGTGTACATTGACAGCAACAATAGAATGAACATGGTCTTCAGTTACAGCGTTAGAATTAGCAATGCTTATTGAATCCTTGCTTATATCCGATGCATCAGATGCCTGTTTTACATCGATATTTCCAAGTGCTCCAGAAGAACTTGGCTTGCAGATATTTAAAGATGATGGATCTAAAGAGACTGAAGCGAGTAATGGTGCACTTCCACAACGGCCATATGAAAATCTCTTATTTTGGAGAATATCTTTTGATGTAAATCCTTCACCAACTGGTCGCATTTCTATTCCATCACTGTCGTTTGAAGCCTCTGAGATCAAGTCATTATTTGATGTAAAGTCAATGTCATATTGTTCAATTTCTAACATAGAGCCATCCGTAGACAATCGAACTGTAATTTTCGAGGCACCCTCGTCCCTTTCATAACATTTTGAGGTTGATGAAAATGCATTATATGTTGGGGCGCGTCTGCGTCCACTTAGAGCTGACTTCTTTTGTTTCCGACGAGCTTTGTCCAGTTCTTTAATATAGCAACGATTATACTCTGAAGTACTGTCAGCAATCCGACCAAGTGAATTTCGGCTTGGGCGACAACCCATTTTACTGCATGCAATGTTGCTATAGTCTTCTATAGAGAAAACATTATCATTTTCATTTTAATAATTCATTGTATAGTTCTGAATAATTAATCGTTTCCGCTCCAAAAAGTCTTCAATCTGATCCAGAGGTTGCGATTTTCTATTACTTTTCCTTTGTGGTATAGTATTCGTTAATAATTAATGCACCGCCCGTATATGTACAACAAGTATGTGAGAGGTCGTATGTTTTTAACAAATTCTATCATTTTTTCTCAAAAACCCTAGAAAAATATAGAATTATTTCGCTATCGATATAACTAATGAGAATTGTTTCTGTTAAAAGTATGATAATCAGATATTTGATATTTTTTATTAATAACACTCTTAAACTAGAGCATATTTTAAGACTTACTAGTAGAGACTTATATTCTTCATTTGATTTGTACAAGATTTTAGTAATTATGTCGATATGTTTCCTATTACATATCATACGAGTTTATTTATATTGTCAACCTAAATTTCTATTTTAATAATTAAAAAACAAAATATTTCAAGGCTGTTTAACTGTGTATCCAAGTCGTTGATTTCTACTTTTTTCCTTTTATATCAAATGGTAAGAACTGATATCATTTATCAAACTCCGTATCTTGAGAATAATTTCACAGCATCATTTCATCACTAAAAGTCCGTTTAAAATTCCTTTTAACTTATTTTTATATTCCAAAACTGCATACAAATGAATATGTTCCTCCACTGACTTTTTGAATCTGACACAAGGCATGTAGTGACTCCTGTGGCCGTTCACTTATAGATAGAATTCATTTATCACTTTTTTGTATGACAATACCACACACGTTCTTGACAAATATTACTTCTTCTCTAAAGCGATATAAATAGCATCTAAAATTCCACGCATAAAACTATGCTTCTAAGAGAATTCAATACTTAAAACGCCGTTCCAAGCACTCTCGATATATATTGGAAAACATTGTTATGTAGCCACTATGGTTCTATATATCCATTCAACAAATCCGTATAGCGATATCGAGGAAAGCTTAGCCACGGTGTAACATGGGCTATGGAGAGCTGCTGACAGGGTGATAAGCTATGACAATAGTTAATCAAAGGGGGTTATTTAGATTGAATAGATATTACAATTACTAATTTATTATTGATAATCTCCGTGAATTAGGTTCAAGATTTTATTTCTTTCGTTAGAAGAGCAGAATATGATGTAACTCAAATGTTAATTAAGCCAACATAGACTTACATTTTTTGGATAATCAGATATATGATAATCAGTTATCGGAAACTTTAAAGCTGCCTTTAGCTTTTATTTTTGTTTTAAAGAATTTATGTGCTTTTCAACATAAATATTTCAGTAAATTAAATATTACCTAGGAAAAGTGCACCATATTGTTAAGCCTTCTTCAAAGCAGCGCACGACAACTACATGTATTCATAGCGCGCTGCAGATACGTTCATTTCTAAAAATAGAAGATTGGGAAACGAATTGCTCGCTTCACTAATTTACATATTGAGAGAAAATTTCATTTGATACATATTTTTCTATATGAAATTATATGAAACGATTTATCTTAAGACAATATATTTAACCTATAGAAAAGCTGAAGGTCGCTTTAAGAGATTACAAATTCATACATGTAACACTGTATTATGTAGATAAAAATCCTGTCGTTCAAATTAATGTGAATTCTGGGAGAATTGACATTACGACGCCTGTCAATCATGCTAGCAGGGGTCTTACAGATAAGTCAATCAGTTTCACGCTAAGATGTCTGCAAAGTCCGCCATTTTCCTTAGACAAGCTATTTGTATAAGACAATGGTGCAGCAGTATTTATATTGAAATTATTTTGATTTTTTGTCAATTCAAAGCTATCAAATTGGTATATCTAAGTTGCCAAATATCCTGAAATATTGACAGATGGAATCAGTTAGTTCATTTTACAAAAAAGATAAGATAATAAGTTATATAGCAGGTACGAAAGTTAAAACCGGCTATACCACAATGCATTGAAAAAGGAAAAAGTTTAAACAAATGCTCTATTCCTTCCTTCCTTCCTTCCTTCATTACAATTATGTCTATTCATAATCACATAATATATTATAAGGACCCAGCATATCCAGATGATATGACATTTCTTTTGTTTGTTTATAACATAGTGTCAATAAAATGCTGCAGTAGAAAAAAGTACTTGCAAATAAATTGAGAGAATATGCTATGAACATTTTAGTTGATATTATCCTACTTAAATATTTCTATTAAAGCTCAATGAATTAAGATTAAATATTGAAATGCATCTGCTTCAATAACATCAAAATTATCTGATCACGGTTTTGATTTAAAGCTGAGGTCTGGTGTATGCGAAACTTATTTTGTAGTGTATTGCGTTTTATCACGAACAATATCTAATGTACAAATATGCATATAATCATATATCATACTACAAAGTTACGCAAGTGCAATTTTCTCATTCAATTTTAACAATTTATGCACAAATGCATTACATATATAAATGATTTCGCACATAAAAGCCTAAAAACATGTAAACATGTAACATGTGTAAATGTTACTGTTTCATTGATATAATATTACTATTTATATGTTCCGCTACTTCAATTATAGCTATCTTTAAATTTATAAACCAGAATGATATTTTGTGAGGAACATCTTCCTTGACATCAACAATATAACAAAATCTTTGCCAAACGTCTTCTTCATCATTAATGCATGAATGCAGTTATTTGTTACTTTTTTAAATACCATAATACATTGAACTGTTCAATAAAAGCATTAAAATTTTATATATACCAAATTATATAAGGTAAATTCATTATAACAGTTTCGAGTAAACGTCGGTACCGTCTTTTGCCTTAGGTCACCCTTAGGTCACGTGAGTCAGTGGGCGGAGCAATCTCTTCTCTTGCGTAATATCAATTGTCTACCGAAAGTTTAAAGTACAAGATAATTGCATACTAACCTTACGAGTGTCATAGGTGCGTCCTATCTACAAGAGTCTTGACAATTTCAAAAATGTCTTTCATGCATATGTTCTTTCGATACCCTAATATGAAAGAATGTTCATGAATAGATTCACGAACTGACAAATCGTACTCTTTTCATTATATTTTATACATATATTTTATTTATTTATTTATTTATTTATTTTATTTTATTTTTATTTTATTCCATTTAGCTGTTATTTGCCTGAAAATAGAATTAGACCAAAACATACTTTTAGGTCTGCATGTCTTAATATAGTTGGTGAAGAAAACAGAACAACAACATTTGAATTAAGATTTCATTATTTGATCAAAGAACAACGGGTGTTCAGTAATTTCGTAGCTTATTCGTGATCATCTTAATTATGTATTTCATATGGTTTCAAGTAAATATATCAAGTTCAATTAAAGTTTATTCTCTTTCAAGCCACACTATAACAAAAAAAATGTGGTTAAGAGCAATGAGAAGTATTAACTTATGACATTTTTACAACCTTGCTGGCGTTTTAATACCTTGCGCGTACATTTGGTACCACGTGATAGTCATGTGATTAAGTTTGATTTTTGACAACAAACATGGCAGGAAGACACCGAGAGGTACACTTTTTTCTTGCCTTTATTTTGGTGTTATCTTTAGTGACATGTGTTTTCACGTTGAGATACGAGCCGACTTGGGAGTCCATTGATAAACGACCTCTACCGACATGGTATGACGAGTCGAAGATTGGAATTTTCATTCACTGGGGAGTATTTTCTGTGCCCAGTTTACTTACAGAGTGGTTTTGGCATCAATGGAAAACTGAAAACAATACCATTGCTCAGAAGTTTATGAAAGATAACTACAAGCCGGACTGGACGTATCAAGACTTTGCTGACGAGTTTACCGCTGAGCTTTTCAATCCAGACGAGTGGGCAGACATTTTTTCAGCTTCAGGAGCCAGGTACAGTATGATTTCAAGATTTGATAACTGATATAATATCATGATATGACATATATTTCTAATTTAAAGAAATATATTAGTCATTTCTTTTGTTTTTATTTTTAATCTTCAAAAATGTGCATTCCGCCATTTGTACTTTTAACAGGTTTTGACAATCATTTTGCATTAAAATTTAAATATTGCAAAACTCAGAAGAGCTGATCGAATATCACATTAAAGTAATGTGAAGATTTTAGTATTACATCATGGTCATATATAAAATGAAGTAATGGGGACGTCATATGAGAAATTGTTCTGTTATATACACATTATCAAGGTTAACGCATTGGTGACACCAGTATGGATTTAAGTACATGAAAATAAACATTAAATTTTATCATGTCACTTACAAGTACGTGGCTAGCTACAGATTAACCTATTGATTTTATGTTACTCGATGACAGCTTTGTCTTGTTGAAATGTTTCAGTTTAACGTTTAAAGATCAATTCTACGGGTGTCTGTTAAGCATGGCCGTGACCGATAAGATCCTTATGCTGTTTTAAATATACCTTTGAAGTAAATAACTTTAGTTTTTGTTATCATTTTATCCACTACATGACCATTTGTGAATTACAATAGGTTTTGTACATGGAAAAGAAATTCGATTTTTCGCATTGACTTCTACGAGTTTTCTCAAAAACTTATTTTTGTAACAAAACTGTTTAAGAATATTTCTCTCTTCAAAATAATTTATGAACTGGATTTCAACCCTCTGCCGGACAGGACCATGTACCGGACGTTTTGTTTTTCTCACGCATCATAGATTTTATTTGACTATCAAAACTGCCATTTAAAGATGGGAAATATTAATAGATGGTTATTTAATATTACAACATCGAAATGTAACTTTTTGTTCAAATATGCTTTCATATAAGCACGTAAAATTTGACTCCAAAAGTTTCATTGATTTTTTTTTGTTCCCTCAAATATTCACCTACAACATATACAAGGTTTCACGTAGTCTCCGGGTCCAATCTATGAAGGCATTTTCAGTCGTTTTAGGTATACTATAAAGACACTGGAATATTGCATAACCGAGGTGTAGGCTCTAAACAAATTTTCGACCTGAAAGATTTTTTAGCTTTGGAAACAAAAAGATGACACAATTAAGGGACAATGTCAGGTGAATACGGAGGATGGGGCAGCACAAAAAAAAACTTTCTGCTTCAGAAAGTCTTTTAATATATGCCTTGTGCGAAGACGTGTCGTTATGCAGGAATTTGACATTGGCCAAACATGTTGCGGGTCTTCGTTTTTGAAATTATTTGTTCAGTACGTTTTCCAAAATATTTTGTCTTGTAACATTTCTTATTAACAGATTTGTCTTTAGGAAAAACAACCTGAATTTTGAGACCCTGGGTTGAAATGACATACATTACCTTCTTTATACTGATGGTCCTTTTTGCAATGCATGGTTTATTGCCAGACTTTGTAGTTCCAGACTGCTCGTTTACTGAGAAGAAGTACCTCCCCACGCCCTAAAAACAGCACTATTCTTTCTGTTGAATCTACAATACATAAGTAATGAAGAAAGAAACAGTTTGTTCAACATTATCTGACAAGGTAATGCTCTTTGAAGTCAGTTCTAATGTTCTAGATTATGCTAGATGTAAATGAACATTGTTATAGCTTTTTGTAGCATAATATTTGAAGCAAAGTGTTTCATATTCGTCTACGTGATAAAGACACTCTTCGAGGTCGACCTACTTGTGTTGATAACAGGTTAATGGCCAGTCTGATCTGTATATAACAGCAATTAGCAAATATTTGAAAAACACGTTGTTTGTCAAACTGAACATAAATATCTTCTTATGTTATTGACCGTGAAGGGATGGTTTAATAGTTCAACAAACAAAACATGGACCCACTTGTTTACAATACACTCCTGGGTAATGTTTTAAAGTTCCGATCAATGTAATACAAAATGTTAAGACTTTGTTGAAATGTCATCCTGTGTATTTTGTCGTATACATGTACATATGTACTTAAGTTTTTCTTGTGATTTATTTTTATGCATGTATACTATTTTTTGCTGAAAACAGAGAGATGGGAATGAATTGAATGATTCAAAATTTACAAATGAAATCAATATAATGAAAACACCCAGACCTTGGGGCGAGTTGATAATTTAAAATAATTAAAGCACACTACATGTACAACCTTTCACAAAAGAAGGCTGAAAAATGATTGATTTAGTATTTCTTTTCGTTTCGTTGCCGTCATTTCGGATGAATTGATTGAGGTTGCATAAACCTACTCTATACCAAAAAAATGGCATTTATCATCTGACCACATATATATAAACAAATATTTAGCTCCATGATCTGACTCACTGTTTTCTACAGAACAAAGATGCAAAAAGATGAAGACAAATGAAGAAGCAATATTAATTGTCGTTATAATTTAAAACCCCAGAAAAAAAGTTACTAATATACGAGCATCTGAATAAGACTTTTCTATCGTTATCTCTTTCCCTGTCGTCAAAATAAGTAAACCACAGACTAAAAATGAGTCCATTAACAAGCATGCTTTAGACAGACAGTGAGTGCGGGTAACTTATAATACCTGCACTCCAGTTAACGCACTGTACATGCATTGCTCTACGATTTAACTTTTTCAATAGTAAAGTCACCAAACCATGATACAACTACCAAACCATGATACAACAATAAACAATGGATACCTACTGGCTTATTTTGATACCTTTAATTGACATATAGGACCGAATTTCGAATATTTAAACCGCTGTAGATATATATTCCAAGGTGTCTAAGAGTATATTTATTTTCTGAATTTGCAATGTCAACCAAATTCAATATACAACGTCTTATCCAAAAAGCGCATGTCATTGTTGTAGGAATATTTTGGTTTCAGGAAAATGGCATAATTGAAAGAACTTAAAGCAGTATCACAACTTTAAGTCAGACAAACGCAATAATGAATTCGTTTTGTTCATTTATCAGGCCCGTCGTCACGATTTTGTGATTGGTGCGGCCAATTTGTTTGATTTTAGGTAGAATCTAGGGGGGTACGGGGGCATGCTCCCCCGGAAAAAAAATATTCTAGGATGCTCTCAGGGGCGTTTTCCCGTATATTTAAAATTATCCAAGATTGAAAATAAGCCACCTCACCTCTTATTGAATGTTTGGGGAGACATTTTGGAGCCGTCATAATATACAGACATCGTTTCAGACAGACAAAAGTTGAAGTCTGAACCTTGTTATTATTGTAAATACAATGCTATGCACTCCTTGAACCCCTCTCAGCGAATTGGTCTTTTGGCGTTTTTCATAAAGTGCAATATTTACTGAGTAATCTTTGAAAAGCAATTGCAAGAATGTGACTCATTTCGGCAGTCACATTACTTAGTAAATGTCCTACAATTATCAGTATGATATGACTTCTTTTCTGCGCTTATTTTGCTAGTTATGTAAATTGCATTTGTCTTTGAGAATAACATCATTAATATACTGTCATTTTAAAACATAACTTTTCCGTTACGAAGACCTATTCAATGGTATCTTAAAATGACTTGATTTATTTGACCACAACTTTGTCACTCATATCTTGCATTCAAATCAGAATTTAACTGGTGGTTTTGATACTAGCATTTTTTTCCTTAGATTTATCATCAGTCGACAATTGCAAAAAAAAATCCTTAAAAACACTTATTAAGATCTTAAAGTGGAGTACCGTGTATTTCTATCCTTTGCAAAAATGTGTGTCAATTAGATATCACTCTTAGATACTATAGCCTCATATTGCTGAACGACTTGCAAGAATTTCTGCTATCGTCTCTTCAAAACAAGAAGGGTCTTATCATCCTGTCTTGATCAATGTTTCGGCCTTGACAACAACATTTTACATGACTATGAACGTACAAACTGAATTCATTTATCCGTTTGAATAAAATAAACTTATTCAATATCTCTTTAACACATTTATTTTTTTCTAAAATATTGAAGTTGTTTATGTACAGATATATATATGTACCTGTGATTTAACTTTCATCAATCTTAAACAAATGATAATTACAAGAGATTTACAAGATTTATTCAATACTGTCATGGATCATAAGTATATACTGTGACATATGATAAAATGCAAAATTTTGAACATGTAGCAACCGGAACACAGAAACATATACATAAAAATATAGGTAGGAGAATGAGTGACAATAATATTGTACCCATAAAATAAAAAAGATAATAGTAACCGTTTAATTAGACGCTAAGACTTGCGTGTGTTTTAAAATCTTGCGATTCGAATGCATGTCACGTGATGGTCATGTGATACAAGTCGTTCAACCGCAAAGATGGCGGATAATAACACAATGGTGTCCCGATTTTTCCTGGTTGCAATTTGGACAATATTGATGGTGACATGTGTTGTCGCTACTAGATATGAACCCAATTGGGAGTCTATAGATAAGCGACCCCTACCGTCGTGGTATGATGAGTCGAAAATTGGAATTTTCATCCATTGGGGCGTGTTTTCTGTACCAAGTTTAATTAGCGAATGGTTTTGGTATGACTGGAAAACACAAAATTCTTCAAAAGCTCAAAAGTTTATGAAAGATAATTACAAGCCTGACTGGACATATCAGGATTTTGCTGACCAGTTTACAGCTGAGCTGTTCAATCCGGACGAATGGGCAGATATATTTGGTGCCTCTGGAGCAAGGTGAAATAATACTGTTCTGAACTCTTATTTTATTCAACAGTTCAAAGTATTGATACAGTATGTAGTAAGGTAGATTATTAGCCATGTAGTAGCCTAATTAATTTGGCGTGAACGGTTTGACCCATTTTACAGACTTTTTTTTCTTACTGTCAAACCGTTACGCCTAATTTTAACTGTTATTTTTACGCACGGAAAATCTACCGGTAACACTATCGATAGTTTGGACTGATTTTTACTGCTTAAACCTGAAAGTAACTTCAATTACCTCTAAAGATCA